TTTAAATTTACATTTAAAAAAGAGCCGTTTTAGAAATATATAAACATACATATTTATTAACAAGTATTTTATACTCAAGATAAATGTTGATGTGTCTCCAGTCAGGACCAAGATCCGGGTATGCGAACATGATTCTTCGAAAGCAGTAGGCTTTAGTTCCATTCCTATCCGAAATTTTACTCTATCCTTAAGGCTTTAAGGATACGTCCCATTCGTTTCCCTGTTCCCAATTTATCTTAGAAATGTCTCGTTCGAAATTGAAATTGAAAGAAACTAGCCAACATCCTTTACACAATATTGTGTCGATGGAAAAAGTACAAAAAGATAAAAATGATATTTTTATTTTCATTTCCAAGAAGCACTCGTTTAAAGTTGACGTAAAATTTTGAGAGATGACCTTTTACTAACAGATAAACTACTGCTACCCTAAAGCTTTGTCTAGAAACTTATTTTACTTATCTAAGAAAGAAACGTACCGCGAAGCGTATTATTATTTCACTGCAACAAGTTTATAACTCTGCAACAAGAGACGTCGTTGTGTTGTCTCGATTAGTTAATCGATTAAACAACTATCGATTATTGTGTCTGTTTAAACTTCAAAGTAATGAGGGGTGCTTTAACTTTAGCTATGACAGAGAAATGTATCTACGACGCTTTTGTATTATTTAAACAAGGATAATAGTGTACTTTTAAGTTGATTGCATAATGACTTATGTTATGACAATCTGCTCTATTTAATTACGGAAAAATTGCTTTTTGTACTATTATACTACAAGAACTTTTTTTAAATGACAATTTGCAAGTAATAAAAAGAAAAAAAGATCGAAGAAGTCATAGATAAAAACGCAGAGTACGAGTACCTAAGTACCAACAAAGCATATCCATCTCTTCGTACGTACTAACTAATAAAATATACATAAAAGCGTGAAATCCATTTATCCAGCAAAATCACTTATCTCTGGATCCCAAGCAATAATTTGCCGCTTATAAACTTTTGATTCAGCAATATTAAAACGCATTAGATCCCCGACATGTGAATAACCGCGCTTAAGTACACACGCACTAAGAATATTTCAAAAGGGCCATAAATCAATATTTCGAGACACACAAAGTACATTGCTCTAAGATTGGGAAAATAAAATATGTTTTAGGATTTCAAAGTCAATTTTCGAGATTGGATTTCTGATTTTATTTATCTACAATGGAATAAAATCTGAGAGAGACTGAAACTCTACACGTTTAAGTTTTTTTTCTTCTTTTTTCCCTATCTTCTTTATTAGTTTATGTCGGGTCACAGACGATCGGTCAAAGCCATTTTTATGCATGTAGGTCACAATTTAAAAAAGATGTATATGTAATGTGTACAGATTTTAATCTTAAATTTGCAATGCAATATGTAGACTGTAAGAAAATATTTTTTATTAAAAAACATAACTCCTGCACTATCATCGCCCCTAGTGTAACAGGATCTGTTCAATAATGAATATTTTATAATTATTTTTATTGGTGTTTGACCGGATCAAGAATTCAGTGTCACCCTTATTCTTCCCGTGGGTGTGGCGAGAGCCGACCACGCAGTACAAAAGCACTGCAAAGAGAAGGAAAACTTGACACAAACTCTATACCAACCAGTCTGGTCAGCGTGGTATATAGTAGGCCAAAACCTCCGTTCTAAGAAGAGACATATGTCCAGCAGTGGACTATTAAAGGAAAATATTATAGAAAATTGTAGTGGCAAGTATCATTTAAATATTATATTGTTGTGTATTATTATATTCTTTACAAGACATTACTTTTTGAACATTATCGTATTAGTACATATAATATTTTTATTTTAAATAGAGACACATTGGTGTGTTCCGTTGCAGCCCGGCCACAGTCGATTTCGTAATTTATGGACGTATCAATTAAATGTTCTTTTATTGTTCTTGCTGTACCAATTAATAGATTAAATGTACCACAAATATATCTTGTTTAAAAAGAAATTGTAAATATAATAATATTTTCTGGTAGGATGCTCAAAATGTTCTAAAATATAAACCAAGGCGCTTAGTGCAAATTCTTATTTTAAGTCATTTTTTGTTTATGTATACCTTTCTCTTGGTTTATTTCATTGAAAAAAATAAAGAACATAAAAAGAACATTTATTTGGTTTATATTTTAGAACATTTTAAGCATCCTACCAGAAAATATACAGGTGGCCGAGCTGCAACGTATACGGTGCAGCCCGGCCACAAACAATTTCTTTTTAAACAAGATATATTTGTGGTACATTTAATCTATTAATTGGTACAGCAAGAACAATAAAAGAACATTTAATTGATATGTCTATAAATTACGAAATCGACTGTGGCCGGGCTGCAACGAAACATACGACACATTGGTAGAGAATAGTCTTCTTATCTTATAAGTAACAGTAACTGCATTTGTACGGCTTCACTGTAAAATATTCCGAAACCTTTTCATAATCTGTTTCGCCTTACTACTTTACTGCACGGATGGCGTAGTGGTTTAGGCGGTCACCTCGCCGCTTTCTACTGCGCTAAGTGTTGTAGGTTCTAACCCCACATGGGACAACACTTTGTGTGATCCTTAAAACTGTTGTTCTGAGCCTGGGTGTTCTTTGTATCCGTTTCATGTATGTTAGTAAAGTCCCCCGCGACATCGGATATATTCCAAGTTCGGGAGGCGTCTTTTTTTAATTTTATTAATAAAAAGTACTTTTAAAGGAGGTATGCATAGATTTTTTATTAGGTTACTCAATCACGGTAGCACTGAGTCAATCAAGATCAAATTTGGCAATAAGATAGATTATGGTCTGAAATAGCACATTAAAAAATTCGATATTAATCCGTAAGTGACACACGACAATAAAACCCATTTTTAAAGACAGTTTAAAATATTTTTCGCCGCCGTTATTTTGTACCGCTAAAATTACTGAGTTCTTGCTACATAACCATTTTCCATACTAATGTTATAAATGCGAGTGTGTCTATCTATCTGTCTACCACTTCACGCTTAAACTGCTGAACCAATTTAGATGAAATTTGGTATTGAGATCATCCGAGTCACGGGAAAGGACATAGGGTAGGTTTTATCCCAGAAATCATCCTTTAAGGGGTGAAAAGGGGGGTGAAAGTTTGTATGGGACATCGATAACCGCCATACCGATTTAGATGATTTTTTTTTATATGTTAGAGGATGCAGACGAGCGGTCGGCTCACCTGATGGAAAGTGACCACCACCGCCCATGAACGTCTGCAACTCAGGAGTCACAAATGCGTTCCCGGCCTTTTAGGAATGAGTACGATCTTTTCTTGAAGGTTTGAACGTCGATGTATGGAGATACTTTGATTCTTGAGGAAAGACATAGGTTACTTTTTACCGCGATAACCGACATTTAGTCGGGCGGAGTCGCGGGCAAAAGCTAGTCGTGTATAATTGTGTGTGTGTTCACTTAGCGTTATCTCATTAGCTAGTTATATAGTGCGCAGCGATCAGTCCGGATGCGAACTCAATTCTAAAGGTAAACGAACGATCCTTCACTCAGCTTCTTGATTTATCTCTTTGTAGGCTAATTGCAACACACGGTTCTTATTTGCAATAATTAATGACGTATCTAAATTTTCATTGTTTTACTAATGGTTCATACACTTATGAAACAGCTACTATAGTATTGTTGATTTGATCATAATTATTACTGAGAAATGATTACGAACAGTCTTGTCAAACTGTGATTATATATATATGGTATAAGGGGCAAACAAACAGACGGGTCACCTGATGGTAAGCAACTATGCAACTCAAAAGTCACAAGTGGGATTTGGGCTCCAGTAACCTCACTTACTTAGTAAAAGGCAACGAAAGAATTGTTTAACACCGGTTTTCTGTGAGGCCGTGGTATCACTCCGGTCGAGCCGGGCCGAGCCCATTCGTGCCGAAGCATGGCTCTCCACCGGAAATATTATATATATACGAGAATAAACATAGTGGGACAAGACTGGCCAGACCTCCTTTTTTTTTGTGATGAGGTTTTTGGTTCCCCAGTGAACGCCCGGGAAGGATTTGCACCATGTGATTTCACAGTCCTCTAATAAATTTAACACGCGTAAAATAACAATTACAACAATTACTTGGTTCCTTCCTTCCTTGATGAAGGCTTTTAGAAACGGTCGGTTGGACTTTTCAATTAATCACAGACCTTCATCACAATATTCAGTTCACATTGAACATCCGATTGGCCATTGGCCGAGTTCGTTGTTACTTCGAGATAATTGTTAAAACCGTCGCGATTAAATACGATTCGAGGAACACAATTGAAACAATAAACATTGTGATGCAAACGATTAGAGCACGCGCTATACTTTTTTTTTATTATTTTATGTTCGCAAAATAATTCTGGCAGATGAAAACTGGCCTGGTAGTAAGTGATAAAAAAACTATGCGTCATGACATTGAAGATCGAGGATCTAGCCAGTCGAAGTTGTCGTCAACGAAGACGAGGACGAACTGTGTCTTCAAGATCACTTCAAGATTAACTCTTGGATTATAGTAGGTGTTATAGGGTTTCAAAAGCTGACAAAGTCTAGGATCTGTGGTGGGACAGATGCCTCCTACCTGGCCAGGTTATCATGCGTAGCCGGCAGCGACCTAACACGTTGAGCAGCAGCCAACGTGTTGGGACGCTACCTTACGGCATTGGGAAGTTGCGGATCAGAGAACTTTCATTGCCTGATGTAGCATTAGTAGTTACTTCTTAGTTCGGTGTCTCTTCTGTAAATGACATTGTAGTATGTTATCTATTGTACTCGTATGTGGAAGTCGCCACAGGGCAAATATCACCGTCTATTAGAATTAACATCACGGAAAAAACTAAGCATACTTCTTTGTATCCTCCTGTTAAAAGTTTCCTGACAGCTTACTCATGTGGTATTGTATTGGTTTAATATTAGAATAAAACCAGACAAAAAGGTACATTCTTATACATAACCAGTACTCACCCTCAGTCTTCGACAAGCAAATATAATGGCTGGGTTTCTTCCCAAAGAGTCCATTTTGCCTTAACAATCCGGCGTCAGCGTCTTCGTCGTAGGTCCTGCTGACCGGCCAGTAGCCTGCAGGGCATTTGGCTACTGTTTCCACGATCTGCAGAGAGAGCAGTGGCCGCTCGTCCGGCAGCGCCCCTCCAAGCGCGCTCAGCACTTTCGACATCTTCCTGCTATGTCATCTTATTCAGTCTTCTTGTATTACAGCAGTTTTATCAGTCTCTTAAAGAGTTAGCACCTGAAACAGGATAATGTATTATATGCGTTGTATCTAATCTTTAAGATAAGTAGGAAGACACATTCCAATAAGTTTAAACATCAGCACCAAAATAAACGACATAGTTAAGTGGCTAGCGATCCTGACTAACATACATGGCTAAGTAAAAAGACACATTCCAATAAGTTTAAACATCAGCACCAAAATAAACGACATAGTTAGTTTCTAGCGATCCTGACTAACATACATGGCTAAGTAGGAAGACACATTTCAATAAGTTTAAACATCAGCACCAAAATAAACGACATAGTTAAATGGCTAGCGATCCTGACTAACATACATGGCTTACTTCCTATTATGTAATAGGACTAAAATTACATTCGGCAAAGCTTGAATCCTATATTTATAACTGCGAATGTGAGATTGTTTGTTACACTTTCGCGTTTGTACTACTCTACCGAATCATGATGTAATTTTATGTACATTTCGTTGTTTTATACATGCCACGGGTAAAAACTAATCTAATAGAGCTCAAATTTCAATGACACGAAATACAACCCGCTTCAAAGAATGTCTTAATCTATTTTTCGCATCACTTTTGGTCCTTATTTCTCGTCAATGCAACCACCACAATGTGCCACAACAAAGCGTGGCAGAGTACTCGTAGTTTATTATAATAAGGAAAGTACTACAATAAAATATTTCAACGCTGCGGTAAATAATTTAATTATAATAAGGAAGTGTACTTTTGCAATTCCTTTTTTTTTAAATCGTATTAAATATCATTCGTACTTAATATTTTCATTGCCACATAATAAATCTTTATATCACTATAAATATATGAATAGTAGGTACTTCTTAAGATTAGTAAGACGAATTTCAGGCCATAGATAGATTGACAATACCAAGCGCGTAAAAGTCAATTTTTTCACAATCAAACATGTAGTAAGGACTCAGATTTCAAGCAGTAGGCACACGTATTACTCGATAGTCCATGTTGTGTCATTCACACACGCTTTGAAGAATCTAGAGATAATGAACGCCTTGCTTTGTTTCTCAGAAAAACACGTAGAGTTTGCCGGCCTCTGAACATCTGATCAACAAAAATGAAGCCTTCGACGACCAGAAACTACCGCTAAGAGGTTGTGCGACATTTGTATCTCAAGCTGCATTTAGATAATAAGATAACAAAAATAAATAGTTAATTGCGACAGTGCTAAGCAGTGTTAAATAGCGATTTTTTTAAGTTTCTAATTGACTGAGGTATATTTTTAAATATGAAATTAGAACAATCAAGGCACTTTCTCCTTTATAACAATTAAATATAAGTTATATACTTAAAACTTTATACTTTATTACAATGACGAAGATGGCTGGTAGCGAGGTGTCCAGTTCCAAGGAGGGGGGAGGCGGGTCATAGGGGGTCCAGGTGACAATCTAAGTTTGTGTCCTCGAGTCTCAGCAATGAGTCAAGGACTTAGCTAAGCACTAGAGTTTGTTCAACTCTTACAACAACTGAAATTCTCAATTCTTCTAGCGACTGAGTTAATTTAATACAATTATGGCCAAAACCACTTCCAAATATGAAATGTAAATTGAAGGAATTATACACTAATCCACTTGGTACCCGAGACGGCGTGCGGCTTTAGTCGGTTCGAGTCCGACATGCCACCAATAGGTGGTATCCGAGGGGATTTCCGCACGGAAAAAAAAAAAATGTCAGTTGTGTAAATCGAATATATAATATTAGTCGCGTTGTATTAGCTATCAGATGATTCTTCGTACCCGTCATTCGGGACCGGCATTAATATACAACCTTTAGGCCAATTCAAATTAAATATATCCCAATCCTTGTTAACTTTTTAATGTGCTAAATATAACTAACTAGTTGTAATCTGGCAACAAAACATTAATAAGAAATCTATACTAATGTTATAAAGAGGAGTTTGTATGTTCGGTAATCGGTGAAAAATTATTGTAGTGTTGGATAGCCCTTTTATCAAGGAAGGATATAGGCTATGTAACATCATGCTACGGCCAATAGGAGTCGAGTATCAATGAAAAATGGATTTTCTTTGGAGAGAATCATACGAAGATGCGCGGTGAGAGATAAAACTGGCGCGAAAAATATGTAAAAACAATCTTTGAAGTGGTTTATATTTCATGTCAAAATTTGAGCTTTTGCACCGATTGGTGCAGAGCTTTTTGAGTTTTTAGAGCATACACAAACCAACTTAACATTTTCTTTATATTTAGATGAATACTAGCTGGTGATGGACGCTTCGTTCGCGTAGAATTTGAAAAGCGTTGCCTTAGTTGGTTCGATTCCCGGACCGGGCAAAATTTTATACGGCTTTTCTGAGGGAACAAATAGCCTAAGTTACTCCTTATACAGACAGCTACCTGCTAGTAAAATATTCGCAAAATCGGTCCAGCCCTTTTGAAGATTCCCCGGAACCAACAGACAGACAAACAAAATATTTTAACTGGTTTTTAGGCATGGTTAACATGCAAATAACCGTGTGAGTATGAAAAAACCTATTATTTTAATATAACAAACAGACACTTCAATTTTATTTATTCAATATAGATTTCAAAGAGTGGGTAAAATATGCACACTATCTAATAAGGTTGAGATACTTTTTCCATCGTTTTGTGGTTTCCTGCAGATATTTTTTTTTTTAGAACTCGCTCTACTTAGTATGACTCTGCTAATAGAATAGACCGTACAGAATATTCTATACGATCCTTCCTAGTTGTTTGTAGCTCTGTAAAACTGCAGATTTTTGAATTATTTTTCGAGTAACAGAGCTTAAAGCGATTTGTTTGTGGATCCAAATACGATAGTCATTTAATTTATCAGAACTAAATTGAACCCAAAACGTCCACATCATTTACATTTGCGCTTATCACGAGCGCAGCCACAAGCCGTCCGAGAGTCACCATAAAGACAGACTATGTTAAGGGTTATCTCTATATTATATTCCGGGTTTAATGGACAGACTCAGTTTAAAGGGAATAAGATAGATCTGTTTCTTGATATAAATGAGAGTGAAATATTACGGACTGGATTAAATGGTTCGTAAAACATTTAAAAATGTTAAAATTGTTTGTCTAGGTTGTGGTACTTGCCGGACGTGGGTTCGATTCCCACCCAGGACAAATAATTGTGTGATGAGCACGATGATTTGTTCTGTGTCTGGGTGTAATTTATCTATATTATGTATGTATTTAGACATATATTAGTATGTTTATCAGCAGTTTGGTTACCATAGCACATGCTCTGCCTAGTTTAGAATCAGACGGCCGTGTGGAAGATGTGTGAAGTTATTATTATTATTTTGATTTTGTTAAATTCCCTGAAAGGTGTAAAATTATTTGATTCCACGGGCCATACCTAAGTGTATTCAGAATTTAGGTAACGGTGTATGTGGACGAAACTGAAGATGTGGTGAGAAATTTCCTTGTAAGCTGCAGGAGTTTAATAAAACCGCTTTCTGGAGTAGGTGTAGGGAATGTTGTGGCATTTCTAAAATGTTTAACCTACGTTGAAATCTTTTAGGTATTATTCCGGTTGACGATATGACTGCTGTTCACTGCTCGCCACTGCCGTTTCAATTCTATTGCTAGATCCTGATACTTGGGAAGTTTTTCAGCTATTGTAGATTGGACGTTATGGGTGTTCGGTACTGATATGTCTATAAGATATACAATTAAGTTTACTTTGTCGTGTAGTGTAGAAAAGAAAAGAAGTATGTCTGGTCTATTGAAATGAATAGCCTTGTCCGTTATGATGGTTCTGTCCCAGTATATTTTGAGGTTATTATTTTCTAGTACTATCTCTGGCCGGTATTTGTAATAAGGTATTTTTTTGTCTATAAATTGATGTTTAGGAGCGAAATGTTGGTGTACTATGGCGGCTACTTGGCCATGTCTACTTTGCATGTTTGCAATCATGTGTTTCAGGACAGGCATGGCAGCGTCTGCAAGCGTCTGAAGGCAGATATTGCGCCCGCACAAAATATATTTATATATTACACAAAATATATTATTATATGCTTTTGGTAATTTCGCGTATCAATGAATTGATCTTGGATTGCAATCATGTATGCTTCTGTCTCAGGAAACAGGTCTCAACTTTGTCAACATTAGGTTGCTGCAGGTCGTGGCGATGTCTGCCGTGTAGGGATTTCTGCTGCCATATGGTAACCTTTCCCTTGATTTCAATAATACGTTTATTGCATTGTAGATTTTGATCTGCTAAATTGGATGGGGTGAAGCGTCTGTCTGGTTGCGTTACAACTTCGTGTAGTGTAGTGTTGTGATCGTTGCTGAAAGTACTGTCTGAATGATGTGATCTGTCTGTTGTGTAAATTGGTAACTTCTATTATGCATCGTCCGCCTTCTTCTCGCGGGAGGGTTATCCGTAGTTTGCAGGATCTAGGGTAGTGTTTTCTGTGAGCTGTTAAAGTTGTGTTTATAGTGCGGTGAAGGTTCGTGAGTTCAGATTTGGACCATCTTATTATCCCGAAGGATTAGGATTCCCGAAGTAGATTAGAACGGGGATTGCGCAGCTATTAATCGCTTTAACTAGGTTAAGAGAATTGAGTTATATGAGAAATGAGAACGGACTATAATATGAAGCCTATGTTTGAATTTCTGTTTAAAAATGTCTTTTGTTTCGTTTTGTATAATTTGTATGTCTTGTTGGAATCCTAAATATTTGCATGTATTGTCAAGTTCTAGAGGTGCAATTGCTTCTTCTGTCTGTAGCATGTAGGTGCTTGAAGTAATTTCTCCATTTATTACTGAAAATGTTTCACCATCATCAATTCCAAATTCCATGTGAATGTCGTTTCAAAAAGATTGTATAATGTCTGCTAGACAATGTAGTAACTCTATGTTATTTCCATATAATTTTATGTCGTCCAAATACATAAGATGCCACG